GGCTCATCTCATCAGAACAGGTGACCACCACAGTCAGGGGTTAAAGCAGGGCTCTGCCTGGGGTCATCTCTCTCCTGGGCCATTTTCTACCGAGGTGCCCTTGAACCTCTCTAAGCCTCATCTGTGACATGGGCACAATTCTTGAAGTTATTCAAATGATCAGCACAAATTAGTACCCATATCCAGAGTTGTTCTGGCCAAAGCCAAAGAAATGAATTTTGTGATAACTTTCTTCAAGTATAAATGGCCCATATGTGCTTGGAGATGATGAAAAATAAACATATATTTTATATTATTACACAGATATATACGTACAAGCACATACAGCATCATTAGGAATGGATTGTAAAGTACAGGACACGGTGCCTGATGAGTGTTGCTGCTGTCGTAGCAGTTATCTCAGCTGCCACCTCTTACAGGCGTGGCCGCTGTGGGCCACACACAAATGCACGCTCTCTGCCAAGCTCACCCCCCGAAGTTTGAGCACATGACTCCTGCCAGGACAACCTCCCTGGCTACTCTCTCCTTTGCATGGACCGTCCCCATATTCACACATCTGCCTCCTTAAGGTCGGGAGTCATGTCTTCCTGCTTCCTCTTAGTGTCCCCCCTCAGGTCAACAGGCAAGCAAGATTGTCCTTGCAGGGGAGGGATACCAGGGCCCAGAGCCAGGGGCCAGCGCCGGGCCGGGTGCTCGTACCGGAGGAAGCGGTTGAGGTCCCCGTGCCGCATGTACTCGAAGACCATGAGCAGTGGGCGGCCCTCGGTGCAGACGCCAAAGAAGCGCACGATGTGCTGGTGCTGCAGCATGGTGAGCAGCTCGGCCTCGCGCTGGAAGTCCTGCCGCGCGCTCTCAGACACCTCCTTCAGCACCTGAGGGTGGGGGCAGGGACCGGACTGAGCCGGGAAGAGCCCACCCCCAGCCTGAGCCCCCCGTCCTGGGACAGTGGCCCAGGCCTTACCTTCACGGCCACCAGCATCTTGTCCTGCTCCGGCAGCAGGCTGTGGCACTCCGCAAGGAAGACCTTCCCAAAGGCGCCCTCGCCCAGCTCCCACTTGAGTACGATGTCGCAGCGCTTGATGTGACGGACACCTGGGGAGTGGCTCACGGGATCAGACAGGAGCCCCGTCTTGGGAAGGAGGGGGTCGGGGCCAGGACAGGACTGTCTAGCAGGGCTGTGCACGGCGCAAGGGCACCAACCAAGAGGCAGATGGGGACTGAAACGGAGCCCTCACCCCTTCACCAAGCCCCATGCCGTGGTGAGACAGGGGTGGAGATGGTGTAGACAGGGGTGGTGATGGTATAGACAAGGGTGGTGATGGTATAGACAGGGGTGGAGATGGTGTAGACAAGGGTGGTGATGGTGAAACACACGGGTGGTGATGGTGAGACAGGGGTGTTGGTGGTATAGACAGGGGCGGTGATGGTATAGACAGGGGTGTTGGTGGTATAGACAGGGGCGGTGATGGTATAGACAGGGGCGGTGATGGTATAGACAGGGGTGGTGATGGTGAGACAGGGGCGGTGATGGTATAGACAGGGGTGGAGATGGTGTAGACAGGGGTGGTGATGGTATAGACAGGGGTGGTGATGGTATAGACAGGGGCGGTGATGGTATAGACAGGGGCGGTGATGGTATAGA